TTTTTTTTTTTTTTTTTTTGGGACGGAGTTTCGCTCTTGTTACCCAGGCTGGAGTGCAATGGCGCGATCTCAGCTCACCGCAACCTCCGTCTCCTGGGTTCAGGCAATTCTCCTGCCTCAGCCTCCTGAGTCGCTGGGATTACAGGCACGCGCCACCATGCCCAGCTAATTTTTTGTATTTTTAGTAGAGACGGGGTTTCACCATGTTGACCAGGATGGTCTCGATCTCTTGACCTCGTGATCCACCCGCCTCGGCCTCCCAAAGTGCTGGGATTACAGGCTTGAGCCACCGCGCCCGGCCTACAATACCCTTTTAATTTAAGAAAGTTGTTGAAGAAAATCACTTGAAGAGCATGTAAAAGTGGAGATTGCTGGCCCCTACCCTGGAATGTCTTGATTCACTAGGTCTACATTGGCACCTGAGACTTTCTCAGGTGGTGCTGATGCTGCTTGTTAAGGGACCACACTTGGAACATCAGTTCTATAGCTTATAGTCTCTTTTTCAAGTAAAGACACTTGTGATTTGTTTGTTTGCTTTGCTTTGTTATAAACATGTTCTCATCTTTCCCTAGTTGCAATAATCTATCTTTTCCCCATAAAAACTTTTTTAAGATTTACTTCTTTAAGACAAGTTCCCACGTGGCCTCATGACAACTTCTGTATCCACCCTCCAATCCTATCATATTGATGAGTTTTATATAGTTGACATACAGGCAGTCCTCGTTTAGTACACAGTTTCAATAAGCAAAAGTTTTAATTATGATATATATTAACAGTGAGTCATTACATAAAGTATAAGCTTCATTGCTGGCCCTTCAGTGTACAAATCACAGTAAATAATAGGCATATCATGATCAGGGACCAGTCATGTCACTTCTTTCAAAGTCTGTTTATGGCCGGACGCGGTGGCTCAAGCCTGTAATCCCAGCACTGTGGGAGGCCGAGGCGGGTGGATCACGAGGTCAAGAGATCGAGACCATCCTGGTCAACATGATGAAACCCCGTCTCTACTAAAAATACAAAAAATTAGCTGGGCATGGTGGCGCGTGCCTGTAATCCCAGCGACTCAGGAGGCTGAGGCAGGAGAATTGCTTGAACCCAGGAGGCGGAGGTTGCGGTGAGCCGAGATCGTGCCATTGCACTCCAGCCTGGGTAACAAGAGCGAAACTCCGTCTCAAAAAAAAAAAAAAAAAAGTCTGTTTATAATTGGTTATTGTGCACCTGTTGAGCTCATGCACAGAAAGCAACGTGTGCAGTTGTGTTGACTCTGTGTCCCAGTGATAAACCCGTGTGATATGTTACAAAAGTAGATGATCAAAAGAGAGAATTGGCCAACAACTATTAAAGCAAAGCAAAGAAAAAAAGGTGATACTGCCAGAAGTGAAACTTAAATGGAACATAAATGGAATTACAGAGAAAATACAAGATAGTGGGAATGTTGGCTCTGCTGTTGTTCTGGTGACTCTAGATTTGCTGCCAGACGAACTTAGTGAAAGCGAACTTATAAATGAAAAAGAAAGTGGTTGTGACATAAAAGATGAACAAGTGACACTGGCATAAGATTTTACACTAAACGAACTCCTGAAGTTATTTCATGACATTGAAGGCACAAAGGATAGAGTTTTGGATGCTGATCCTAACTCAGAAAGGAATGTAATGGTTCACCATGGCATAGAAATGGTGCATCAGGCCAGGTGCAGTGGCTCATTCTTGTAATCCCAGCACTTTGGAAGACCAAGGTGGGTGGAGCATTTGACATCAGGAATTAAAGACCAGCCTGGCCAACATGATGAAACCCTGTCTTCACTGAAAATACAAAAAATTAACCAGGCGTCAGTCATGTGCACCTATAATCCCAGCTACTTGGGAGACTGAGGCAGGAGAATCGCTTGAGCCTGGGAGATGGAGGTTGTGGTCAGCTGAGATCGTGCCAGTGCACTGCAATCTGGGTGACAGAGTGAGACCCTGTCTCATAAAAAAAGAAAAGAAAGAAGATGCATCCTTCCTGTCACAAGTTCTGCAAGAAGGTAACAAGCAAAAACTATTCAAACTGCTCTTGATTAATGTTTCATAAAGAAATAGAACCCTTTAATGTTTTGAATTAGTGTACTAAAATATTTTACTGTTCTGTTCATTTTCCTATACATTTATGATTGATAGAAAATTCATAGTGTTTTGACAAAAGATTTAAATGTAACGGAACAGTTGTAATTTTCCTCGTTGATTATTAAAATTGTAGAGTTTCAGCCTGTATAGTCATGTTTATGGTCCCACAGTGCATGCAAAGCTAGGAGTACCTATACACATGAATGTATGTGTATGCATGTATATGTCTGTGTGCATATATGTATGAATGAATGCATGTATATAAAGGTTTTATTTTCATTATGTGTAGATTTTATTTGTAGTCTATAAAGCAGTGCTTTGCAATCTTGATGCGCGTAAATATTTGTATAGTGCACTGTAATATATAAGAGAAATTGCTCGTGGCTGAAAGGTAACAGCCAGGAAGCTTTTCCCAACCCAAGCATTGCTTAGCTGTCTGAAGGGCTGAGGTGATGATTATCTTAAGCACACATATATCTTATTTGAGACCTAAAGGTTAGAAGACTCCAGTGTTGAGAGTTGTGAACTCCTTGAGGAGGTAGATCCTCATAGCACTTAGTGTGGTATTCTCTTTTTGAGACGGAGTTTCGCTCTTGTTACCCAGGCTGGAGTGCAATGGCGCGATCTCGGCTCACCGCAACCTCCGTCTCCCGAGTTCAGGCAATTCTCCTGCCTCAGCCTCCTGAGTAGCTGGGATTACAGGCATGCGCCACCATGCCCAGCTAATTTTTTTGTATTTTTTTTTAGTAGAGACGGGGTTTCACCATGTTGACCAGGATGGTCTCGATCTCTTGACCTCGTGATCCACCCGCCTCGGCCTCCCAAAGTGCTGGGATTACAGGCTTGAGCCACCGCGCCCGGCAGTATTCTCTTTATGGTTATTTTTGACAGACCATATTTGACATGCACCATAATACATATTTTTTAAAATAAATTGCTTTCAATAGGTAAGAACTATTAGTTTTCCCAAAGACATAATCAGTAAACATCTAAAAGTTGTTATGCTTCACCGGGCGTGGTGGCTTACACCTGTAATCCCAGCACTTTGGGAGGCTGAGGCGGGTGGATCACGAGGTCAGGAGATCGAGACCATCCTGGTCAACATGATGAAACCCCGTCTCTACTAAAAATACGAAACATTAGCTGGGCATGGTGGTGCGTGCCTGTAATCCCAGCTACTCAGGAGGTTGAAGCGGGAGAATTGCCTGAACCCAGGAGGCGGAGGTTGCGGTGAGCCAAAATCGCGCCATTGCACTCCAGCCTGGGTAACAAGAGTGAAACTCCGTCTCAAAAAATAAATAAGTAAATAAAAGTTACTATGCTTAATACTCCCTTTCTGTGGTTATTAAATCCTTACAATGTGTCTTTCTTATTAGAAATGCCACTGTGTAATAAGTGTTACATATAATAAGTGCAGAGGTAAAACCTGGCATAAGAAATAACAAGTAGGTGTGTGAACAAATGAATTTGTTGTCTTAGAAGAAAGGCATCTGGTAAAAATGTTTCTATTCTTGTGAGCATAAAGTAAATGAAATGAAAGGGGATTTGGTAAGAAAATGAAAGATTAAATTATGTGCATTTTTAATTGGCCCAGTGATTGACATCAGCTTTCCAGGTAATTTGTTTTGGTACCTAAACATTAAGAGTTAAAAAAAATAAAAATGTATTTTCAACATTGATACGTATTATATTCTCATCATGCTAGTTGATGTTTTTAACTATGGCACAATACATATGATTTTAGTCTTGACTTGATTGTATAATATTTAATCCAGGACTATCTTTTATGTCACTTTTCGTTGATATATTTCAGGACCTTAGTATTAGCTCTCAGTCTGTTCTGTTTTAGAACATATGCATTATTTTTTAAAACAAAAGCATCATATTAATAATTTGCTATTTTGTTTTTTGGAATTCTAGATTCATACTGTGTTTGTAAAAAAAAGTAGGACTTGGGGCCAGGCGCAGTCACTCACAGTTGTAATCTGAGCAGTTTGGGAGTCCAAGGCGGGCAGATTGCTTGAGGCCAGGAGTTCGAGACCAGCCTGGCTAGCATAATGAAACTCCATCTCTACCAAAAAAAAAAAAGGCTGGGAGTCATGGTGCACAAACTGTAGTCCCAGCTACTCAGGAGGCTGAGGCACAAGAATAGCTTGAACCCAGGAGGCCGAGGTTGCAGTGAGCCTAGATTGCGCCACTGCACTACAGCCCAGGTAACACAGGAAGACTCTATCTCAAAAAAAAAAAAAAAAAAAAGAAAAAGTAAGACTTGGGCCAGGCATAGTGGCTGAAGCCTGTAATCCCAGCACGCTGGGAAGCCAAGGCAGGTGGATCACCTAGCTCAGGAGTTTGAGATCAGCATCGCCAACATGGTGAAACCCAGTCTCTGTGTAAAAACACATAAAAATTAACCAGGTGTGGCGGCAGGCACCTGTAGCTCCTTGGCAGGCTGAGGCAGGAGAATTGCTTAAACCGAGGAGGTGGAAGTTGCAGTGTGCCAAAATCGTGACATTGCATTTCAGCCTGGGCAACAAGAGTGAAAATTTGTCTGGAAAAAGAAAGTAAGACTTCAAATATACTGCTTTGATTTTTTTATTTAACAGTGGGAAATCTTATGGTATGCTTTAATTTAAAATATTAGGCCAGATTTTTATAATCTGATTTTTATTTTAAGAACCGAGTGTGTCAGAAAGAAAAGAAAAAACAAAGAACCAAGTGTGTCTTAGAAAGCCCCAGGCTATACATGTGATTTTTTCTGCCTGTTTTGATAGTAGGTATGTATTTATCCTCACAAACGCCATAAAAATGTGACTTTCATAGGAATTAGAAACACTAGCACTTTGACAGTTGTTCATAAGTTGTAGGCTTTGAAATTATTTTGTATGTGTGGACATATGTAAACTTTTATATATTCAGCAGATATTTTAGAATGAATATATTTTATAATCTGAATTATGTCATTTTAAAATACAGCTTTGCCTAAAACTGAATAAAACATGTATTTCTCCTTTTAAAATGTAGAATTTCTTTACAGTCATTAAAATTTGTGAAAGCATTTTTAAGGAGACAGGATAACTTGGCTTTTTGTTTTCTAAATACTGCAATTGCTTGTTCCTTTTAAATTTGATATTTTAGGGCATATCGATGCGTTTACTTCAAAGCTTTTTCTACTGGAAGAAATTACTTCAGAAGAATTAAAAGAAAAGCTTTCAGCACTCAAGTAAGAAAATTTACTTTGTGGTGAGAACTGAAAACTTGTTAATGTGATCATTAATTTTCCTTTATCTCTAAATACTGGTTAAGCTTAAATTGCTTTCAAGACTTTTAATCCTTTTATGTATAGAGGTCTTATTGGACCCAGTTTTGATTTCCCTTGTTTTTGTTTTTTGTTATTTTGAGACAAAATCTGATTTTGCCACCTAGGCTGGAGTGCAGTGAGTGGTGTGATCTCAGCTCACTGCAACATCTGCCTGTCTGTTTCAAGGGATCCTCCCACCTCAGCCTCCTGAGTAGGGACTACAACCATGCACCACCATGCCTAGCTCGTTTTTGTATTTTTTTGTAGCGATGGGATTTCCCCTTGTTGCCTGGGCTGGTCTCAAACTCCTGGACTCAAGCAATGTGCCTGCCTTAGCCTCCCAAATTGCTGGGGTTACAGGCATAAGCCACCATGCCTGGCCAGCAGTATGTTTTGTTTTGTTTTTGTTTGTTTATTGATATATATAAGAGTTATACATGTTTTAGGGATACATGTGATACTTTAATACCCATATATGATGTGTAATAATCAAATAAGATAATTGGAATATCCTTCACCATAAACATTTATCTTTGTGTTAGGAACATTACAATTCTTCTAGGTATTTTAACATATACAGTAAATTATTATGAACTGTAATTTCCCTGCTATACTATTGAATACTAGAAGTTAGTTCTTCTGTCTAGCACCTTAACCATCTTCTCATTTCCCCCATCTGTTTCCTTCCCAGTCACTTGTAACTATTCTTCTGTACCTCCATGAGATCCACTTTTTTAGCTTCTACATACGATTGACAGTGTGCAGTATTTGTCTTTCTGTGCCTGGCTTATTTAACTTAATATAATGACTCCCAGTTCTATCCATGATGCAAATAACAGAGTTTTGTTTCTTTTATGGCTGAATATATTCCATTGTGTGGGGGGGTGGTGTGGGGGTGGTGTTTGTCACATCTTCTTTATTCATTCATCCATTGGTGGAGCCCAGACTCAATTTGTTATTTGTTTATATTAATTATCTCCATCTCCAAATTCAGTATAAGGCCAGTAGCACCAGCCTTTCTATGTAAGACAAGGGATGCTAGAGCCAAAGTGGCCACCAAGCATGGGAAGCAAACATTTTACTCCATTACAGGTAAGGGAAAGAATAGTATAGTCAAAAACTCCGACAGTCTAACTTCTGAAAGTTTGCGCATCTACCGAGTATTATTATACACGTGACTGAAATGAATTTATTGTACTCAGAACTCTAAATGTCTAAATGCAAAGGAAAATAACTTAGGAGTATTATCTCATTTGCATCTCACAACTTCCTAGGAAAGGCTGGTAGTAGTATAATCTCCATTTTATATATGAGGAAATATTAGAGTGATAGGCCTTAGAGCGCAAGGCTAAGTTGGTTATAGCCTTGGAAGTTAATATGTTTGATTCCTACTTAGGATGAGAAATGATTCTGAATTCTACAAGCTGCATAATTCCAGCTTTCCCAGGCTTAACAGAGTTTTTTAAGGGTCCCAGATCCAAAGTTGAACTCTCCACTTATACTTCACTGTGTCTGCTTGTATTACAAGGACTGCTTTTCTTGAAGAGTAACTTTTTTATATATATATGTGAATAGAAAAGCTTTTCCATACCTTACTCTCCACCTGCCTTACTTTTCCCAATGAAAGCCATTTTTTATAAAAACAAGGAGGTTGGGCACAGTGGCTCATGCCTATCCCAGCACTTTGGGAGGCTGTGGCAGGCAGATCACTTGCACTCAGGAGTTCGAGACAAGCCTGGCCAACATGGTGAAACCCCATCTATACTAAACATACAAAAATTAGCCAGGTGTGGTGGTAGCCACCTATAATTCCAGCTACTTGGGTGGTTGAGGCAGGAGAATCACTTGAATCCAGGAAGCAGAGGTTGTAGTAAGCTGATCACGCCATTGCACTCCAGCCTGGGCCACAGAGATCTCAAAAAAAAAAAAACAGAGAATGACTTTAGGTCTAGAAGAACTACTAAAGAAATGTTTAAAATAATATCTGTATTTTATTTCCCATTAGCTATCCTGTCCTGAGTTAGTGTCTTCTCTGTCATCACAGGTTTAACGGACCTATTTTTTTTTTTTGGAAGCTAATTCACCACCATCTCTAAAAGACGAACTCTTTTGCATATTGGCTCTACTAAAGACCTCTTAGCATTTTTTTAAAGTATATAATATGAACATGTAATAGTGATCTCTTTACAACTGCTCTGATACAAAGCCAAATATGATAATGAAAGGAAATTGTGAAATGGCAAAAATTGGCTAGACACTGTGGCTCATGCCTGTAATCCCAGCACTTTGGGAGGCCAAGGCGGGTGAATCACCTGAGGTCAGGGGCTTGAGACCAGCCTTGCCAACATGGTGAAACCCCGTCTCTATTAAAAATACAAAAAAATCAGCTTGGCATGGCTGCACTTACCTATAGTCCCAGCTACTTGAAAGGCTGAGGCATGAGAATCACTTGAACCTAGGAAGTGGAGGTTACAGTGAGCAGAGATCCCCACCACTGCACTCCAGCCCAGGCAACAGACAGAGCAGGACTCCGTCTCAAAAAAAAAAGAAAGAAAAAAAAAAGGAAATGACAAAAACTAAGTAAAATTATAATGTAATTCAAATAGAAATAAGTTTCAGTGTTCTTTGTTTTACATTATGTCATGTCCTGTTTTTGTTGTTGTTGTTATTGAGGACATTTTTCAGCTATAATTGCTAAAAGTAAGTTTCCTACAGTTTAATTTCACATGAATTTCTTTTGTTTATTAGGATTTCCAATTTATTTAACATCCTTCAACACATTCTAAAGAAATTAAGTAGGTAAGTATTTTTTAGGCGTTTTTCTTTGGTAGATGCTGATTTTCTTAGATGAAAATTCTTAGAAATTTTGAAAATATACTGTTAGGAATAGAGAAAATAACCTAGAAATGCAAAAATTACTCTGTCAAATGTAAAAATTTATATTGTAAAAATATAAAACAAAATATTCTAAAAATATAAATGCCATAGTATCTGGCTTTAATGAGCTTACAACTACATTTTCCTGTAAGTCTATTACTGTATTAATTTTCTGTTACAGCTATAACCCATTGCCACTAACTTGGTGACTTACAACACAGATTTATTCTTTTTAGTTCCTGAAGTCAGAAATCCAAAGTCAGTTTTACTGGGTAAAAGTCCAGGTGTCAGCAGGTCCTTTCTGGAGTCTGAAGAAAGAATCATTTCTTTACATTTTTCAGTTTCTAGTGACCACCTGTATTCCTTGACTTGTGGCTCTTTCCTCCATCATCAGGGCATGTCACTCAGATCTCTGCGTCCTCGTCACATTGCCTTCTCCCCTTTTGTGGTAAAATCTTCCTCTGCCTCCCTTTTATAAGGTCCCTGGCGATTACTTTTGGCCCGATCACATAATTTAGGATAATCCCCTTATCTCAAAATTCTTAATTTAATCACATTTGCAGAACCGTTAAATGTAATATAGTCACAGGTTCTGGAGATAAGGATATGGACATCATGGGGGGACCATTATTCAGCCTACCATAGCTATATTATTTTCACTTTCAGGATAAAGAAAAACACAGAGCTGGCCGGGCGCGGTAGCTCACGCTTGTAATCCCAGCACTTAGGGAGGCCGAGGCGGGTGGATCACGACATCAGGAGCTCGAGACCAGCCTGACCAACATGTTGAAACCCCGTCTCTACTAAAAACACAAAAATTAGCTGGGCATGGTGGTGTGTGCCTGTAATCTCAGCTATTCAGGAGGCTGAGGGAGGAGAATTGCTTGAATCCCGGCGGCCGTGTTTGCGGTGAGCCAAGATCACGTCACTGCACTCTAGCCTGGGCAACAGAGCGAGATTCTGTCTCAAAAAAAAAAAGAAAAGAAAAGGAAAAGAAAGAAAGAACATAGAGTTAAATGAACAGTCATTTAGGTCCATTGCAAGTCTTAGAATATAGATCAAGGTATTTCCCCTTGATCATTTATCAAACTGTTTTGTTATATGAATGTTTGCGTTCCTTATCTTCTGCCCTTACTGAAGGATAAACTTGAAAACAACTTGAATCTGAACTTAAGGTCGGAATTTCAAAGTCCTGGTTCTGAAGAACTCTGTTAAACCACTTGATGTCAGTTTCCTTATTTGTAAAATGATGGTGTCAAGTGCAATAACTTCCTAGGGACTTTTCAGTTCTTATATTCTCTGATGATGTCACAGGATTTTTATTTTATGTATTCTCTTCTCCATGTTACATACAATGCTTATGCATGAAATTTGCCAGATGAGTTTTGAAATTTTATTATCAATATTTTATTTAGTTTGTGTATTAGCTTTATGTTGTGGCTGTAACAAATCACAAAATTAGTGTCATAAATCAACACAGATTTATTACTTTGCAGTTCTCAAGTCAGAGGTCTAACAGGACTTACTGGGTTAAAATCAGGGCATTTGCAAAGCTGCATTCCTTTCTATAGGCTCTGGGAAGATCTGTTCCTTGCCTTTTGTAGCTTCTAGAGGCCACCTGCATTCCTTTTCCTTGGCTTGTAGCTCTGTTCCTCGATCTTCAAAGTTACAAAGGCAAGTTGAGTCATTCTCACATCGAATGTCTCTGAACTTGTACAGTCACATCTCCCTCTTGAGTCTCTTCTGCCTTCTCTTTCCATTTTTAAGTGCTCTTGTGATTACAGTGGATAATCTCATAAAATCTGACCATTTTAAAGTCAGTTGATTAGCAACCTTAATTCCATCTGCTACCCTAATTTACTTTTGCCATGTAATGTATTTGTAGGTTCTGAGTTTGGAACATAAACATTTTTAGGAGGCCATTATTCCGCCTACCATAGTTTATATTTATCCATGTACATTAGACATGTACAGCACTTATAAGATACTCTTCCTTAGAGTATCTTTCATTTTCCATGAATTAAATATTAATACATTATTCTGTAAACCAAAGCTTTCTTCATTTTTAGTGGAAGTATTTAAGATATATGATTTTCATTGATTAAAGCTCAATCTTTGAAATGTTATTCCTACTATCAAATAATTTATTATTCATTTCTTTATATGGAAATATGAAAGTGATTGGAGAAAAAAATTCAGAGGATAAGAGTAATTGTCTAACACTTATTACTTTTCAGTTTAAAAGTTAAAGAAATTTAAAATTAGGCCGGGCGCGGTGGCTCACGCTTGTAATCCCAGCACTTTGGGAGGCCGAGGCGGGTGGATCACGAGGTCAAGAGATCGAGACCATCCTGGTCAACATGGTGAAACCCCGTCTCTACTAAAACTACAAAACATTAGCTGGGCATGGTGGTGCGTGCCTGTAATCCCAGCTACTCAGGAGGCTGAGGCAGGAGAATTGCTTGAACCCAGGAGGCGGAGGTTGCGGTGAGCCGAGATCGCGCCATTGCACTCCAGCCTGGGTAACAAGAGCGAAACTCCGTCTCCAAATAAAAAAAAAGAAAAAAAAGAAATTTAAAATTAATTTAAAATTTAAAAAATGTAACTTACTAGACTTATAGGCAAATCTATGTAGCTAAAGTATGATAAATCTTTATTCTTTAATATGTTGTGGGAAAGAATGATGTTCTCCTTAACATCGTTGATCCAGAGGATTGTATCCCCAAGAAAGCACAGTATATTTATTCATATCCCTTTGGTTCTTTATGGTGATACATTGAAATATTTAAAGCTTTCTAAGGAGAAAAGGAAAATATGGACTTGATGTTCAACATAGCTGGTTATTGCTATAGTAGAGGATCGTGATTAAGGGTGTGACCTGTGGAGTTCAAATGTCTAGGTTTATACCTAAACCTACACTTAGAACTTTGGGCAAATTGCTTAGCATCTCTAACTTGTTTATTTATCACCTTAAATTAATAGGCCTTGAAGGTTTATTGTGGAAGATCTAATGAGAAAATCGACGTGAAGTCATGCTATATTAGTTAGCTCATAATAAACATTCAGTACCTGCTAGCTGCTATTGTTGCTGTTACCCTCCTAGCACCTCGTGTTGTATTATGTGTGTTTCCATTGACTGTTTTTTCCACTTTATTTTAAACTACTCAGTGCTGCAAACATGTCACCTTCACTTTTGTGTCTAGTCATCTATCTATTATTAGGTGCAAAATAGTTTCAGTGTTAAATGAACGAAAATGCTGTAAGAATGCTTTTCAGTGTAGATACCTATAAATATCTAATCCATGGATTAGAGAATTAGGCACACTATTTGTTTCCCATTAAATGAAAATTTACAAATTGATATTAAAGTAAAAAGGAAATGATCAACTATTCTGAACTTTGGAATAAGAATTAAAATTAGTTGTCTAAAAAGCATAAAATAAATTTTAAAGATTTCTTAAATCTTATTTTGTCATAAAAGTATTTTTAGGGGTGGTGTGATCTTCACATAAGTTTCAATTTTACTAATAGATTATGATTAAGAAAGTGCTGTTGAAATTGACATGGTGAGCCACTGGTTGAGTTTCATTGTGTGGATTTAGCTTGCAGGAGGGTTCCTACTTGTTATCTCATGCAGCAGAAGACTCTTCACTCCTGATCTATAAGGCCTCTGATGGAAAATTTACTAGGACGGCATACAATTTGTATAAAACACATTGTGGCCTTCCTGGTATACCTTCCAGTCTGTCAGTTCCCTGGGTACCGTTAGATCCCAGCCTGTTATTACCATATCATATCCATCATGGAAGAATACCTTGTACTTTTCCACCCAAATCACTGGATACCACAACACAACAAAAGGTAAGATCTTTTTTGAAGTTAAAGTTTCATTAGGTTTTTTATTATTTATTTCACTGACTATACTATATTTCACCCTGATGTTCTCATTGCCATATTAATCACAGCACCAATCTAAAAACAATATCCATAGGAAGGGTAAAGTTGTACACTGTACTGAGTCCAGTATTCATGGTAGTGGAACTTTTTATTTTTGTAAGATTTTTAAGTCCAATAAAGGAGACTGTCTTAGCTTGAACAGTGGGTATATGGGTAAGGCATCCACATAGTTAAATCCTTATATTCCTATGAAAAGCAAAGTTATGGATATTTCTGTAATTTTTATTTATGTATACTGGGTTTCACTTCATTAAGCATTCCAGGCAATTTGCAGAAGAGCACCTGTAATAAAATTACGATATAATTGAACATTATTAATTAGAATGAGGTAAAAGAAGTATTAGTAGTTTGTTAAAATACAACTAAAGCATTAAGGACCTAAATTGTGTTTTGCTAAGTATTATGTAACTTAGTACTTACTGAATTACAATGAATATTACTCTCTTTATAGAATTTTTACCAGAAATAGCAGTTGAATGACGTTATCTGAAACTTATAAAGCCATAGCTAGAGATACTCTCTACTATGTCACTCATTCTGTGTATTGTGTAAGAAATTCCAATTTGAGTTTAATTGTAAGAAAAGTTTTGCTCTCAAGTGTGTGCGGTGGCCTGTAATCGCGGCATTTTGGGAGGCCAAGGCAGGTGGATCACTTGAGACCAGGAGTTTGAGACCAGCCTGGCCAACATGGTGAAACCCCATCTCTGCCAAAAAATACAAAAATTAGCTGGGCGTTGTGGTGGTATGCCTGTAATCCGAGCTACTTGAGAGGCTGAAGCAGGAGAATGGCTTGAACCTGGGAGGTAGAGGTTGCAGTGAGCTCAGATCACTCCACTGCACTCTAGCCTGGGTGACAGAGTGAGACTCTGTCTCAAAAAAGAAAAGAAAAATAGTTTTGCTTTCTACACATGATTCTGAATGTGTTCAAGATTGACAATCTAGTATATTTTCCTTACCTACTGCCAAAAGTCTTTGAGCCAAAATTGTTGTCTGAGTTACTATCTTCTCATTATGGTTGCCCCAGAGCATCTATCGCTTGTGTATTCTTCCTTTTTACTGTCTGTATTATGCTGAATTAATTTGTAAATGTCCTCAAATCCTTATGAGAAATAGTTGGAATGCAAATACTGAGGATTTTGAAATAATTTAAAGTAAACAGAGTTGTTTGTTTATGTCTCTTAGTTCTCCACCCTAAGTTACTGTTTGGGAGTATCCTTTTAGAAATGAGAACTCCTTGTATATTCCTACTTAGCTTGGGCCAAGAAAGTATAAATGTTAACAAGTTGGGACAAGTGAAAGAATGCAGAAAGTTACTTGTTAGCATTTTAAGCTATTTTATCTACAGTTTTGGTTGTCTGCTTCCAGTTTAATATAAGTAGTCATTTTTATAACCTAAGGAAAATTTTTCTTAAGTAACTTAAAAATAATTGAAGAACTATTTTTGAAGGATCTGTGTTTTTCTAGGAGAATGATTTCCTTTTAATTTAGAAACACTGATTATAGTCTCTCACCTATAACATATAATTGTGTGTGGGGGTGGCTTGTTCCTTTTTACTGAAAATGAACAGTTTAATACCTTGGAATTGAACAACTTCAAGTGAAAGGAAAAATGTATTATGTGTATACAAGGTGTTTCTAAAAAAAATGAGTCATATACTTACTGATATAGACTGACACTAAAATAGTGTTGTATGCTTATGCTTTGGAAATACTTTAATGATTTGATTTTTAAAATAATGTGGTTTAAAATGTGCTTAAGTATAGTAAGAACACAATTTATAGTCATGTATCACTTAATGACAGGGATACATTCTGAGAAATGCAGTGTTAGGCAATTTTGTCTTTGTGCAAATACCATAGAGTTTACTTACACAAACCTAGATGGTGTAGCTTACTGCACACCTAGGCCATATGGTATAGCCTATTGCTGTTAGGTAGACTACAGACCTGTGTAGCATGTTACTATACTGAATACTGTACGCAGTTGTAATATACTGGCAAGTATTTGTGTATCCAAATGTAGACAAGATAATGCATTGCACTGCTAATGTTCTAATAGCTGTGACATCACTAGATGATAGAAATTTCTCAGCTCCATTATAATCTTTTGGGAATACTGTTGCATATGCAGCTCATTTTGACCAAAATGTGACTGTATTTGGAAAAGGAGAAATGCCATATGTTCACAGTTTGGCCACATATTATCAATTACATGTATGTCACAGAGTGTGCTTCATGCATTCAGTCCAGGAACAAATACTTAGCGAGATTATCCAGGCCCAGGCTGTGGTATAGCCCAGCATTAGGTACAGTGGACAATTAGATAACTAATACTTGGTTTGATATATTTTTGAAAACCAGTAGAAAGTTTTTGATTATCTACTCACCTCCCGACGATCTGGCCCTGTATTTGATAGGAATTACCCCATCTTCCTCCCTACCTCCTGGCCAGGCCATGGGAATGGGCCTTCTAGTCCCATCCCAGCTAAGCACAAATAGGGGTTCTAGCCTTAGCAGCAGTGTTAAGACGACATCTTTCAGGAAACTAGGGAAGTAAGAGCTATATAAAATAGAAATTATCTGCATATTTTCATGGTATAAAAATTTGTTCAAATGTTCCCCTCTAATGTGATCCCATAGTCACAAGTCCACTTGAATTCTGATCGCATCCTTGTATAGTTGCCTTTGGTACTTATAATGAGAGAGAAGCCAGTAGAGCCTGCATCTGCCTCCCTACTGCATCAAGTAGAGGTATTTAAGGGTCCCGTTTGCTTTCTGGGATGCCTTTGACTTCTGCTTTTAGTCTTCCAGCAGCTTCACACTTACTCCTTTTCTCCTTCTATAGCTTCTGTAATAAACATTCATTTTACACATTCAAACACATACAGTCTTGCAGTGGAAGTTTTCAAAATACTTGCTTTTCTCAAAGATTTTAATAGATACAATTAGTGTGACCAGTATACCTTTATAGGAAATAACAGCTGAATGAGGAATGGCATAGATCATCTAAAAATCGCAGCACATTTCTAATCAGTGTATTACAAAATTTTATCAGATTCAGACACACAGATCTCTACTCACTTCATATTTTCTGATCATGTAAGTGTAAACCAAAAAATGCTTTTTAAAGGGACAGTAGATATTAAATAAGGGAAGCCAGAGTCTGATCCATTCCCAGTGAGAATGTAACTCCTTGGAGCAAATGCCAGCAGTAGTTCTGTTGGGCTAGCATTATGAGAGAGAGTGCTTGGAGTTATACTATCACCTAGCAATCCCAGGCCTGAAATTCACTGGACAGAATATGAAGAAATAGGAAGAGAGCAAGGTGGCTAGGGAAAATAAAGGCATATTTGGGCAGGTTCTGTGTAAATGTTTTCAGGCTATGCAACTTTGGTCCTCTGTGTGATCTTGCCTTCTCCGTTACTACTCTTTAAAAAAAAAAAAGCTTTATGTTCTCTCAGGGGCCAAGCTGGTGACAGCATTTCCAGATCTCATCTTTAACATGACTACATAGCAAGGGATTGTGTCTATTCTTATAACCACCTTGGCTGGGTGCGGTACCTTATGCCTGCAATCCCAGCACTTTGGGAGGCCGAGGCGGGCGGATCGCTTGAGGTCAGGAATTCCAGACTTAGCCTGGCCAACGTGGTGAAACCCCGTCCCTTCTAAAAATACAAAAATCAGCCAGGCATGATGGTACACACCTTTAATCCCAGCTACTTGGAGTCTGAGGCAGGAGAATCACTTGAACCCAGGAGGTGGAGGTTGCAATGAGCAGAGATTGTACCACTGCACTCCAACCTGCGCAACAGGGCAAGACTGTCTCAAAAAAGAAAAAAAAAAAATAGACCATCTCTCTTTGTGTGAGCTAGCAAGTAAGGGTAAGGAAGGGTAAACTTGAAGGCAGAACCACAACAGAGTTTATTCCCCCACTTCAACCTCCCTCTTCCCCTTTGCCCATCCTCTGTATTCCCCCTTCTAGTTTTTTCTCCCCCTTTTCTTATGTCTTTCTTGCTTTCCTCTTTTCAGCCCTTCAGTGTTTCCCTTCTGCTTGCGTTCTTGTCTTTTCCCTTCCTTATACTTTAACTCTTTTTTTCTTCTTCCCTCTTGGACTTTTTTTTTTTTTTTTTGGGACGGAATTTCGCTCGTTACCCAGGCTGGAGTGCAATGGCGCGATCTTGGCTCACCGCAACCTCTGCCTCCTGGGTTCAGGCAATTCTCCTGCCTCAGCCTCCTGAGTAGCTGGGATTACAGGCACGTACCACCATGCCCAGCTAATGTTTTGTATTTTTAGTAGAGACGGGGTTTCACCGTGTTGACCAGGATGGTCTCGATCTCTTGACCTTGTGATCCACCTGCCTCGGCCTCCCAAAGTGCTGGGATTACAGGCTTGAGCCACCGCGCCCGGCCTTGGACTTTTTCTTAATCTTCATATCTTTCCTCATTTTCTTTCCTTTTCTTCCCTATCCTTCATATTGTCTTTCTTGTATGTCCATGTAATTTCTTCTCCCTCTTTACCACCTCTTACCTTCTTGTATTTCCTTTCTCTCCCTCCCTATTCACTTCTTCCTTTTTCTTGTCCTTCAGTTTAATTATTGTACACATGTCACTCAAAAGGCCTGTCGTTCCTTTGATTTCTAATTTATCATGTCAACCTCTAATAAGTTTAATAGGGAATAGTTTCCCCGTTCACTTTTCTCCCCATCTACTCAGATCTGTCCCCTTCTCTGATGGTTATTTTGAAGTTTAGTACTTTAAAAATGTGTCAGATTAAAACTTGTTTAGAAACAGCCAGGTAGCTGGAAATTAAAAGTATGAAAGAGATCATTTGCAGGGTGGTTAAGACATGTGTAACTACTACAGAGTTGACTGTATATAAGTATGTTGTAGATACATTAGGCTGTTCTGTTCTCTGCTTCATCTCTTAGGTTGGTGGAACAAGAATGCCTACACGCAGCCACAGGAATCCAGTTACCATGGAAACCAAAAGCAGTTGCTTGCCTGCTCAGCAAGTTGAAACTGAAGGAGTGGCTCCAAATAAAAGAAAAATAACTTGAGGACTGTACCATGGAAAATTAAATTAAAAAAAGTAACAGTTATAACAGTGTTTAATTTAGAAAAATTTGAGGTAAAATATGACTAAAAGATCAGAAGGCAAGAAGAACATTTTTCCCATAGTATCCTCAAGAGTTCTTAGAGTGCCTTGAAAAAATACATTGGCTATGTGAAGGAGTGTTTCAACTAAGATGGAATGTTATGCTTTCCACCTTTAAAGTCTGAGGAGGATCTTGATATGTTTTAACATATTCATGGCAGGGAAATATATAAAGAAGAAAAATATTTTTACATTAAACCTTTTCTAAAAATTGTAAATATAAATATAATTTGCTTTTTTTTACCAAGAACAACACTTATCATTATGTATTGTTAGTTATATTGCCAGTCTATTGAGACTGACTCAAAAGGTTAAACATTGCCACTGTTGAAGATAAGTTTTTATATACTTTAAAATGATGAATGCTGCAGGTTAATAAAGCTAGTACATTTAAAAACCTGGTCAAATTCCATTACAGAAGCCAAAAATTAAAACTCCCTGCCTCTGAAAAGTCAGATTACAATCTTCTTGTTTGGCAACTATCAGTGTGTTTTTAAAAAAAAAAAAAAAAAATGTCTTTTTTTTTTTTTTTTTTGGCGATATGACATGTTTGATGACAAATCCCTCTGCGATGTACCTAGATTCAAGCTAAGTGTTGAAATATGCTGGTGAAAGCAAAGAGATGAATTTTCTCTCCAGAAAAAAAGCCAGTATCTTTCCTCCAACGGACAAGGTTAATGTGTAAAGCATAAGCTGTTTTTATCCTCATCTATACTGATTGATTTAAATTTTCTGGGCCTACAGATTAATTCAGAAAAGGTTATAATCAGCTGATGTTGCTGTAGCAAATTTGGACTTAAGAAACAACAGGCAGGGCTGGGCGCGGTGGCTCACACCCTAATCCCAGTACTTTGGGAGGCCGAGGTCGGAGGATCACTCAAGTCCAGGAGTTCGAGACCAGCCTGGGCAACGTAGTGAGACCTCATCTCTACAAATAGTAAAAAAGTTAGCCGGGTGTGGTGGTGTGCGCCTATAGTCCCAGCCACTCAGAAGGCTGAGGCAGAAGAATTGCTTAAGCTTAGGAAGTCGAAGCTATAGTGGGCCATGATCGCCATACCACAGTACTCAGCTTGAGTATCAGAGTGTTGACCCTGTCTCAAAAAAAAAAAAAAAAGAAAGAAAGAAAGAAAGGACAGGCTTGTTTAATCTTTAAAACTCTTACACTAAAATTTTCAGAAGTTATGTATGTCATTTGTAAAATACAAGTTTTGTAATCCTAGATAATTGCTTTGCATTGAATTTTTAGCTGTTCTATGTTAAAGAATAGCTATTTTTTTGCCTAATTGCTAAGAAATTAGACCTAAAAATCTCCTCAAATATTGTAACAGTTGAAAATACTTGTCTTTAACTACCAAGTTTTGTTTCATTTAGATTTTTTTGATTCTAAAACATTTTAACGTTATTTAAGAAGTAATTATTAGTAAAATTGCATCTTGATAAATTGTTTTCTCTTCCTGCCATTCCCTTTTTTTAAACACTCAGTTTTTTGTGCTTTAAGCCACATATCTGGGAAATGTTTTGGTTGTGAATCATTTGGCAGTGAGCTAAGGGAGAGGCAGGGATTCCCTTGGAATGTGCTCTTTTACTTTTTCCTTTTCTTTGTTTCTAATGCGCACTTGTGTGCACCAAAATGGAATGTACTCTTTTAAAAAAGCTAGATAGTGGTTGCTTCGAGCTTCTGAATACCAGAAAGACTTGCCTTTCACTTTTTTTAATATTGCTTTTTACATAGTAAAACATATAGCCATATATTTGAATAACACTGATTATATATAAAGCTAGTTTTTTGCTTGTACTTAGTGCAGCCTCCTTTTTTAACATGCATTTGATCATGCTTCAGGTTCTTTTTCTTGATTTTTAGTACTGAGAGTGTATAAGCCAAGAAGTAACTGGCAATATGTTTAGCAGTATATAATCCCAGGTACTTGGGAGGCTGAGGTGGGAGGATCACTTGAGCCTAGGAGTTTGTGGCTGCAGTGAGCTATGGTGGTGCCCCTGCACTCCATCCTGGGTGACAGATCAAGACCCTATCTCAAAAAATGAGCAAGATTTTCTTTTGAAAATCAGACTTTATGTTAGCAAGGATGTGTTCAACCTGGCCCACTTACACCTCAGCACTGAAGGCATAATTTACACACACCTCTTTGAAAACACTTTAATTTAGTGAGTGTTTGAGTACAACTATATGCCATGCACTCCAAAGTAGGTCCCCACAGTTATTCTCTCATAGCATTGTTTTTTCAGATCTCACCATATTTATTTGTTTCTTTGACTTACTCTCTTTTCTTTTAGATTTCAAGCTCTGCAAGGACAAAGGCGTGTTTGTTTTGTTCACCATTAAGTAAGAAACACCTAATACAGTGCCTGTCATGTAGTTGCTTAGTAGTTACAAATTAGATGCATGAATGTGTAGATACCAAAGATAGTTTTTTTATTTCAAGAGCTCACGTTCTAGTGGAAGACACTATATTGATCTATGTAATAAGTGCTTTGATAAAGTAATATAAGAAAATCATTCAACTAGATTCTGTTAGTTAAGGTTTTCTGAGATAGAGCTTCAGCTGAGTCTTTTAAAAATAGTAGGAGTTAAAGGGGAAAAATAAAAAGTCTTCCACAAAGAAACTAAGTGAAACTAAGCCTATGAAAAGGTGAAAGATGAAAAGATTGTATGCTATGAACATGAGAGATGAGAGAGAAGAGTACAGGACAGGGACAGATAGACCATGCTAAGAGATTGGAATTTTGTCCTGTGCAATGTGGGAACCAGTAGTGAAGGTTAATTAACTGACATGATTTGATAGGTTTTTGAAAAGGGCTCTTGTTGGCATTAGTCTAGAGAATGTGTTAGAGCTGCGAAACGAGGGAAAAAATGTTGGGAGGTTGTGTTATAGTAATTTAAAAATGGCAATGGCCCAGAATTAAAGCAACAAGAGTAGGGGTAGGCTCAGGTGATGTATAGGGGGAAAAATGACAACTAAGTTTTGGGATTAACGAGGAGAGTAAAGTATGGCTTCTGGGTTTCTCATTTGACGTACTGAGTAAATGATGATGTTACCCACTGAGAAAATAGTACTGTGGTTAGAGTAGGAAGAAAGTTGATTTAAAGTATTTATTTCCTTTAGTCATTCTACTTTTGGATTCTAGGTTTGGGTGCTATATTGGCTATAAACAATTTGCTGAATAATAAATTATCCCAAAACTTAAGATAGTTAAGAAAATTATCTCACGGTTACCATGAGTCAGGAGTCCAGGTCTCTCATGAAGTTTCAGTCAGGCTCTTGGCTAGGGCTGTAGTCATCCGAAGGATTAACTGGTAAGTTGCTAAGCCCACACTTAAGCTCCACCTTTTAAGGGAGAAGTTTGGAAAATTTGTGACCATATTTCTAAGTCAACACGTATGCTATGAACTAGTATAGGGGAGGGAGAGGAAAGAACACATTTTAATTTTTTATTACTAGCATACTGCATCTAGTTCCTAATGGACATATTGTAAAGATATTAAGATGTTTTCTATGCATTATAGATATACAGTAGTTTTTAATCAAACCTTAAAGTATTTGGTAACAGATTGATTGAGTTTTTTGTTGAGCTGTGGAAATAAAGGGGATTCATTTCATTGATTCATCTATTGTTGTCATGTCCCCTTGGCTCATGTCCAGACTACTTAACAAGGCATATTATGGCAGACACACTTACAAGGCATCTATCTGGGATGTGGATCTGCCCTGCCAGGCAGAACTTACTGAAAGAACCGAGAACCAGACCTGTATTTCCAAGATGGGTGGGTTTGTAGATTACTTCATCAAACAGATTTAAACAGTCAAGAGTTTGCCTTGACAGATGTGTTTGCTTTCAGTATATGAGCTATAGCCTGGTTGATTCTTTAAGAAAGTAGGAGGAAGGCCTAAGTATCACCTAATTGCTGTTTTGAAAGTGAAGAACCGTTACAAAGATTCTGTGATTAATGGGTTGAACTTCTCCTTCCCTTTTCTTTAAATTCTGTTTCTTGTGGGGGTAGGGAGAAGGAATATTTTCTGTGCTCCCTATCCTAGGTTTTGCTTATTTAAAAATATATAGCACTAGAAAGTATGTACACATAGTCTAAGAGACGTACACCAGTAGAGCAAAGCCACATTGATAACATGAGTTTCCAGTCCCTTCCAAGCACTGCCTTAATTCAACATCTGCTCTAGCCAGGCTTTAACATTACATAAATTAGCAGTTGTCCCTGCCTGCATGCTGTTGTACATGATTCTACATCTACTTGGATTTTTTATTATTGCCTATCAAAACCTTGCCTGTCCTCTATTGAATTGTCAATGCATTTTTTGAGTATTTATTGGATGGGTGTAATGCAGTAACCAATCTCTTGGTATTTAAAGATAAATTTAATATTGGTTTCTGCCTTAAGATTATTTCCTAATCTAATTGGGGGGGTAGATATGCATAATTAACTGTAAGTGAAAATGTTCAACTGACACAATAGTGCAAAGGAGTAAGAAATCAGAGAAAGGCACGGTAGAAAAGACCTCTAAGCTCTTTGAAAGACACATAAAAATGGAAAACAGGAGGCAGAGCATTGCAGTGTGAGAGGAAATCATGAAAGGGGTTGGATTTAGGAAATAAGCAAAGTTGGTCATGTGAAAAGCATGGGGTGAAATGTAATAAATGGGAGATGAGCTTGAGGAGTTATGTTGGAGCTCAATAGTAGGAGATACTGAATATAGTTTGATTTGATTCTGAGAGCAATGAGGAGGCATTAAAGGCTTTTAAGCAAAATGGTTAATTTTAGGAAGACTACAATATAAATAATTATTTAGAGAGGAGAAAGACCAATGGCAAGGAGGTGTTAACCATACATACAGCAGGTGGATTATAAAGGTATGAATTGGAAAGCTGTTTAAAAGGCAGCAGATGCGTGACTTTACCCTATCCTCAAAATGAATGTTTACTAGTAACATTGATTCACAACTGGGTAATAGACATTGTGCTAGGTGTTGAAAATACAAAAGTAAATTAAAACATATTTTTCAGTGTTTACAGTTTCACAGAAGGAGACAGACATCTAAATGGGTACAAAAATGTAAATATTGTAATTAGTTTCTATAATGGGTAAGAGTTACATGAAGAGATAGGAGTTGGTCTACCTGTAGGCATCCAAAAACATCTCATAAATGAGCTGAAACTTTAGCTAAGAACCACACTTTATTTTTCCCTGTATCTAGAATCAACCTTGGCAAACAGCAAACATTCAGTAAATATGTAACGACGGTCTTGACTTATGATGGTTCAACTTAGGATTTTTTGACTTTACAATGATGTCAAAGCAGTATGTATTCATAGAAATCATACTTCAAGTATCCGTACAGCTATTCTGTTTTTTCATTGGTAGGTTAGGTATGTTACATAAATTTTCAACTTACAGTGTTTTCAACGTATTCGTTGTTTGTTTATTATTTTTGTTGAGACAGGGTCTTGCTATGTTACTCAGGCAGATCTTGAACTCCAGACCTCAAGTGCTCTACCTCGGCCTCCCAAAGTGATGTAATTATTGGGATATGCCACTGTGCTCAGCCTAAACTCATGATGAGTTAATCTGGATATAACTCCATGACAAGTTAATGAGCATCCATATTATTGATGTGTGCATGTTCTCCAGCTGATAAGGTTAGAGGTAGGGGTGTGATAGAGACTTCAGTAAGCAAGATATGGTCCACAAAACAGCATGTATGTGTAGAGTTATGCAGTAAGATGTTTCAGAGACAACTGAGGTTTTTGCTAAGCATTGCTGCTGACTTAAATGAAAATGTTAGAATAGGGTTGGGGTGAAAAGACACATTGTGTTGTCAACCAAATAGCAGCAGAACAACTAAGGGAATGCCCTATAGAACACTGAAAATGTGGGTCTGCAACTTAGGGGAGAGGAATAGATAGGCATGTTGTGTTGGGGGCTCACCTTTGTGCTGAGGAGAGGTGAGGCTGGCATGTCTGAGACCAACCTGGCCTTTTTAAATTTTCTCTTTGCTGTGGTTTCAGTGTGTTCCCTTTCAGAATTCTTCATGTGTTGGAAGCTTAATCTCTAATGCAACAGTGTTGGGAGGTGTGGCCTTTGAGAAGATGGCTAAGTCATGACTGGATTAGGCTATTATGAAAAGGATACATGGGGTGGATTCATCCTCTTCTGATCTATTATTATGTGATAATTCAACATTCATCTTCTCTTGCCCTCCTGACTTCCACCATGTAAGGACACAGTAAAGCACACAGTAGATACAAGTGCCTGAATCTTGTACTTCTTCGTCTTCACAACTGTGAGAATTACCTTTCTGTTCTTTATAAATCACCCTGTGGTATTCTGTTCTAGCAGCACAAAATGGACTAAGATACACCTCTTCCCCTTTGTTTGGGCTAAGGGCCTGGACTTAGGTTACATACCAGGTTCATTAAGCAAATAAAGAAATACATTGAGAATAATGGAGGCCTGGCATGGTGGCTCATGCCTGTAATCCCAGCACTTTGGGAGGCTGAGGTGGATGGATCACCTGAGGTCAGAAGTTTGAGACCAGCCTTGTCAACCTGTTGAAACACTGTCTCTACTAAAAATACAAAAATTAGCTGGGCGTGGTGACGGGCACCTGTAATGTCAGCTACTCATGAGGCTGAGGCAGGAGGATCACTTGAACTTGGGAGGCGGAGGTTGCAGTAAGCTGAGATTGCACCATTGCACTCCAGGAAAAGAGGAGAATGGGAAAGGGGAAGGCAAGAATACACCCTGTGATACTCGACTGGAATTGGAAGTATTGGAGTGAACTAATGGTATTTAATATACACAGTGAGAGAGATGAAGAAACAGTTATAGCTGTATGGGTACATATGCATACATATTTCCTTCTCCTGTTTTTTTTTTTTAACTTTTTTTTAAGATGGAGTCTCATCCTGTTGCCCAGGCTGAAGTGCAGTGGCACAATCTCGGCTCACCGCAACCTCCGCTTCCCGGTTCAAGTGATTCCCCTGCCTCAGCCTCCCGAGTAGCTGAGATTGCAGGTACTCGCCACCACACCCAGCTAATTTTTGTATTTTAGTTGAGATGGGGTTTCACCATGTTAGCTAGGCTGGTCTCAAACTCCTGACATCAAGTGATCACCTGCTTCGGACTCCCAAAGTGCTGGGATTACAGGTGTGAGCCACTGTGCCCTGCCCATATTTCCTTATTCTACTGAGAGACTCTAGATGCAGTGACAGTCTAACAGCAGTGGCACATGTAACACTTGGTTTCTGTATCCCTTTCTTCACTAAGAGAAACCAGGGCTCCTTGAAGAAATTACTGATTCTAAGTCTGGGTTAGGGTCAATGGAAGATGAATCTGGAACATGATGTTGCATCAGAAAGTAAGTATTCACTGGGCATAGTGGCATGTGACTATGGTCCCAGCTACTTGGGAGGCTGAGGTGGGAGGATTCATTGAGCCCAGGAGGTTAAGTCTGCAGTGAACTGTGATCATGCCACTACACCTTGGCTTGGGCAACAAAATGAGGTCCTGTCTTCAAAAAAGAAAAAGTCTGACCAGCATGGTGAAACCTTATCTCTACTAAAAATACAAAAACTGGCTGGGCGTGGTGGCTCGAGTCTGTAATACCAGCTACTCAGGAGGCTGAGGCAGGAAAATGGCTTGAACCCAGGAGGTAGAGATTGCAATGAGCCGAGACTGTTCCACTGCACTCCAGCCTGGGCAACAGAGCAAGACTCCATCTCAAAAAAAATAAAAGTGCTAAAAAAACCAAGGGCCATATCAGAAATACAGAGGCTGTAGCTTAAAGGAGTTCCCAAATTCAGGAAAATTTGGGCATCAAATGATAATAGTAATATTGTAATCCTTTGAGTGAAATAAGAATCTATGAGCTCATCGTGATAGAAATTAATAAATAGGGAGGAAGGAAACATTCTGTTCTATGATAGAATGGCAACCAATAAATTGGTGAAATAAGAAAAATCAATTTGAAATCAGGGTAATAATTATTCAACTAGGAATCATCAATGGATACTAAATGTGGTGAGCTAAAACTTCATAATAAATAGGTAGCTACATAGCCTTAAAGAATCTCCCCACAAATTACTTACTTAACATGTATGAAATACCTGTTAATCAATGCCAAAAAGAAACCTGGCTGAAACCATCTTAATCAAGTGATACAAATTAATATCACCAGTAATGAAACAAATCAACAGTGTTTCTTCATATGCACCAAGAAGAGCACAGCATCACTTCTGTGATACACTCCTTCCAAATACACGTAAATCATGAGGAAATATCACAGAAATCCAAACTGAGTGACAGTCTATAAAGTAAATAGTAATCTGCAGAAATTCCCGTTCCTTCACACTGTAGCACTACTGCAGATTAAAGAAAACTAACTGAATGTGACTCATGATCCTGGCTGGGATCCTGGACCAATAAAGGACATTATTGAAATGATTGGCAAAACTTGAATGGAGTTTATAGATTAGTTGGTAGTGATTTATTAATGTTAATTTCCTGACTGTGATGTGGTTATGTCAGTGCATGTCCCATACTTAGGAATTAAAAACCAAAGTATAAATTGGTAATGGGGCATCATTTCTGCAACTTATTCTCCAATTGAAGGATCTGGGCAGTAAAATGTTAACAGGGATTTTGATGAAATGCATATAGGAGCTATATATAGTATTTCTGCAACAATTATATAAACTTAAGTTTACTTCAGATTTAAAAGTTTTAAAAAATGGTATTGTCCACAGTATCAGGTACTATAAGGTGGTTAAGGAGGATGAAGACTAAGGAAAGAAGGCTGTTGGATTCAGCACTGACGAGAACATTCAATGGTGTGAGAGAAGGAGTCACTGCAAGCTGAGAATTGAATGAGAGACAAGGAAAGGTGCGGAGGAAAAGCCATGTTGAGAAGTATGTTGAATGGAAGAGTGAAGGTAGGCAATAACCGGAAAGAAAATCCAGGAGAAAAGGGTTTTTTTTTGAGACGGAGTTTCACTCATGTTACCCAGGCTGGAATGCAATGGCGCGATCTTGGCTCACTGCAACCTCCGCCTCCTGGGTTCAGGCAATTCTCCTGCCTCAGCCTCCTGAGTAGCTGGGATTACAGGTACGTGCCACCATGCCCAGCTAATTTTTTGTATTTTTAGTAGAGACGGGGTTTCACCATGTTGACCAGGATGGTCTCGATCTCTTGACCTCGTGATCCACCCACCTCGGCCTCCCAAAGTGCTGGGATTACAGGCTTGAGCCACCGCGCCCGGCTGGGTTTTGTTTTCAGAATGATAAGAACTTCTTTAAGTTTGTATATTAAAGGAAGTATACCTGTTGCTGCAATACAGAGGTACAAATTGAAAGGTTAATAATTGATAGGGAACCAACCCAGAGCCCTGAGGGAAAAGAGATGGAGAACATCAAGATTCTAGGTATAAAGGTACAACTTGGAGAGTCTCCCACTGCCTCACCACTACCCCAACAAAAAGCCTATTTATTTCATTATTCCATCCCCTGTCATGTAGCTACCATGAAATTTAGGTGAAATTGACCCTACTTCCAGCTCCAGGAGTGAACCCCAGTGGGTCTAATTTCCCCTACTTTAGTGATTTGTTTGCTAACCCAGATCTAAACCAATCAGTACATGGTAAACATCTTAGACCTAGGGAATGATTTAAGGTTGTGTCTAATCAGTATAAATCTCAGGACTCATTAGATGTTTATAAGATGAAGCACTCTCTCTGGGTGTGAATGAAAATACACCATAGTGCGGGTGCTGCCACTCATCATATTATAAATGGGATGGATGCCACCCTGAAGATGACATCTGTACTCTGAAGGAAGAAGCAGGAAATTTACACAGGGAATCAGAATCTGAGTTCTGATGGAGCCATACATAAAAGTCACCCTACCCCTGGACTTTTTTGGTTCCTTTATCCAATATACCTCTTTTATTATGTGCTCAGTTTGAGTAGGCTTGTTAGTTGTGTCCAGAATTTTCCTAAATAAAAAATGAGAAGAGTTGTTCTCTAACAAATGGTTCAGAGAGGTATAAAGACAAAAGTGTTGCAGTAGGGAGAAATCAAGGATTCCTGTTTTTCAGATCCAGGACATGAAACTGCTCGTACATTGTAATCCCCAAAAAGTCTGTTCTCCTATAAATTCATAATATACTTATTAAAATACCACAACTTCTGACTATGAAATGTATCTCACATTATTCTCTATGCATTTTGTATGCATACTTAAACAGACTGTAAGGTCCTCCCAGGTAATGCTTGTTTCTTTCTATAACTATGTACCTGACCTAAGACTGAACATATGCCTAGGAAAACTCTAGAAGCTCAATCAAGATGTGTCAAATTGTGCTGTTACTTGAGCGCTCCCCCAAAACCAACATGTAGCTAGGCTGTCCCTACCTCAATTATAGAACCCCCCCAGTCACAAGGACAATGCTATTGGTAGCCTTGCATAAGTTAAGAAATTAAACAAATCAAAGAAACACACCAGTTACTGTTATACTTCCAATTTATATCTTTGTATTGTATCAGTTTATAGGTATATTTCTCTTAAAGACTAAATCTCCATATTTTGGATACATTTTTACAGTATATCCAAACTAACTCATTTGATAGAATTCTGTTGCATGTAAGGGCAACAAAAGAAGTAAAAATTCAGGTTAGATAAACAATTTGGAATATATCATATCTTGAAACCTCTGAAAAACATTTTATCTTGCTGAGCATGCCTCATGACCGTAATATCAACAGTTTAGGAGGCCAAGGCGGGAGAATCACGTGAGCCCAGGAGTCTGAGAATAGTCGGGGCAACACAGTGAGATGCTGTCTCTACAAAAATTTACAAAATTAGCTGGACATGGTGAGACATGCCTATAGTCTCAGCTACTGGGGAGTCTGAGGTGGGAGGATTGCTTGGGCCAGGGAAGTCAAGGCTGCACTGAGCTGTGATTGCCCTAATGTACTTCATCCTGGGCAACAGAGTGAGGCCTTGTCTCAAAAAACAAAACCATTCTATCTTTCAGCCAAAACTTGTCTCCACCTAAATATGTAGTCTGTTCTTCCCAGGGCAGCAACAACAAAAGGCTTATCTTTTTTCAAAGGGAGAGACGTTTGCCCAATAACTGGTGTGCTGAAAATATGCCCACTCTTTCACAAGCTTTACCATCCATAGGTAATGTTCTCCAATGCCAAGTAAACATTAGTCATACATAGTTTTGCAAACTGGTCTTTCAACAGACA